TAGTTTCTGTTCTTGCCTGATTCTTGAGAGAATTTAGTGTTTGAACAGAGTGTGTTTGGCTCTCGAGGGAGATATAGCCACGCTGCGAGATGTGATAGCATTGAGAATGCCTGTATGCCTGATTCTCTTTGAGAATTGAGCGCCTCTCACCCGCGTTTCGGGTCTCGCAGCTGCCGAGGCTGTTAATCAGACCGATCACGGGGTTTGTCGGCGGGGCATGGAAGGAATCTGACAAGGAGTGCTTTCTCTTTCAGAATTCTGCCCAGTGTTTGACCACAGAGATCTTAAGGCTCTTGGTAATTGTTTGAGATGGGTTTGAGATGGTTGTTACTCTAAATTAATGTTAACTTTGTCGTTGTTACTGAATGATCTTTCCGGTTTCATCCATGTTTCAGGTCTCGCGGCTGCCGAGGCGGTTAGTCAGACTGATCACGGGGTTTGTAGGCGGGGCATGGAAGGAATCTGACAAGGAGTGCTTTCTCTTTCAGAATTCCTTTTTGATTTCTATTTATTTTTTACAGAAAATGAACTGTGTATAATGTGGGATATCTACATTATTGGTGAAGGAGGCACCTGACTTGGTTTAAGAGCAAGTTTTTTTAGTTGTTAGGCTCTTGGTTGAGCCTCCTCTGAGCCTCCTCATTCTTTCAGCCTAGGTACGTGTATTTAGGTTGACCATGGTTTCTGCTATGCTGAGAACTCTGCTCCCTAGTATTTTTGTTTTGCAGTTATTTCAGGTTGTGAGTCTCTCTGTGAGCCTCCCTGACCAGCTGTTCTTGAGCCTGGTAGCTCCCCTCCCTTTGAGGGTCGCTATGCTGAGATCACAGTTCCTAGTGTTCTCTCAACAGAGCTCTGTGACTGTTAGGCTGTTAGGCTTTTGTGGGCCTCCTTGATAAGTCACTCTTCAGGTCGAGCTTTCAAATACTCCCCTCACCTGAGGGTCTTTGTACTGAGTACGCTGATCCATAAGGGTGGATGATTGCACTCCCCTCACTTTAGAGGGTTGTTATGCTGTGTGCTTGCTCCCTAGAGCTCTGTTTCGCACTTAGGAGCATGGTTAATACTCCTAGCTCAGTACTCTAGCTTTTTGAGTCATTATGCAGTGTACTCCGCTCCCTAGACCTCCGCTTAGACAGTACTATTAGTATGTAGGCTCTATCGTGAGCCTCACTAACTGTCCTTAGAGTGTAGTCAGGTCTCCTCTCGTTCTAGAGAGTCGTCATGCTGAGGCCTCCACTCTTAAGAGTTCCCCTACCAGAATCGAGTGTTGCTAAGCTTCCTCTCGTTTAAGAGAGTCATTCTGCTGAAGCCTCCGCTCTGCAGAGCTCCGCTTAGGCAGTATTAATGTGTAGGCTCTTTCTTTTTGAGCCTCACTAAGTGCCTCTAGCATTGAGTGTAGCCAGGTCTCCTCTCGTTCTAGAGAGTCGTCATGCTGAGGCCTCCACTCTTAAGAGTTTCTCTACTAGGGCTGAGTGTTGTTAGACTTCCTCTCGTTTAAGAGAGTCATCCTGCTGAAGCCTCCGCTCTCCAGAGCTCCGCTTAGGCAGTAATATGAGTCTGTAGGCTCTTTCTTTTTGAGCCTCACTAAGTGCCTCTAGCATTGAGTGTAGCCAGGTCTCCTCTCGTTCTAGAGAGTCGTCATGCTGAGGCCTCCACTCTTAAGAGTTTCTCTACTAGGGCTGAGTGTTGTTAGACTTCCTCTCGTTTAAGAGAGTCATCCTGCTGAAGCCTCCACTCTCCAGAGCTCCGCTTAGGCAGTAATATGAGTCTGTAGGCTCTTTCTTTTTGAGCCTCACTAACTGCCTCTGGTGTTGAGTGTAGCTAGGTCTCTTCTCGCTTCAGAGAGTCGTTAAGCTGAGACCTCCACTCTTAAGAGTTCCCCTACCAGAATTGAGTGTTGCTAGGCTTCCTCTCGTTTAAGAGAGTCATTCTGCTGAAGCCTCCGCTCTGCAGAGCTCCACTTAGGCAGCATTAATGTGTAGACTCTCTTTCGAGCCTCACTAACTGTCTCTAGTGTTTAGTGTAGCTAGGTCTCCTCTCATTCTGGAGAGTTGTTGTGCTGAGACTGCCACTCTTAAGAGTTCCCCTACCAGGATCGAGTGTTAGTAGGCTTCCTCTCATTTAAAAGAGTCATTCTGCTGAAGCCTCCACTCTGCATAGCTCCGCTTAGGCAGTAATATGAGTTTGTAGGCTCTTTCTTTTTGAGCCTCACTAACTGCCTCTGGCGCTGAGTGTAGCTAGGTCTCCTCTCGCTTTAGAGAGTCATTATGCTGAGACCTCCACTCTTAAGGGCTCCTCAACCATGGTTGAGTGTTGTTAGGCTTCCTCTCGTTTAAGAGAGTAATTCTGCTGAAACCTCCATGCTGCATAGCTACGCTTAGGCAGTATTAATGTGTAGGCTCTTGAGCCTCACTAACTGCCTCTGGCGTTGAGTGTAGCTAGGTCTCCTCTCGCTTTAGAGAGTCGTTATGATGAGACCTCCACTCTTAAGATTTCCTCTACCAGAATCGAGTGTTGCTAGGCTTCCTCTCGTTTAAAAGTGTCATTCTGCTGAAGCCTCCACTCTCCGGAGCTCCGCTTAGTCAATAATATGAGTCTGTAGGCTCTTTATTTTTGAGCCTCAATAACTGCCTCTGGCATTGAGTGTAGCTAGGTCTCCTCTCATTTTAGAGAGTCATTATGCTGAGACCTCCACTCTTAAGAGCTCCTCAACTTTGGTTGCGTGTTGTTAGGCTTCCTCTTGTTTAAGAGAGTCATTCTGCTGAAGCCTCCACTCTGCATAGCTCCGCTTAGGCAGTATTAATGTGTAGGCTCTTGAGCCTCACTAACTGCCTCTGGCGTTGAGTGTAGCTAGGTCTCCTCTCGCTTTAGAGAGTCGTTATGCTGAGACCTCCACTCTTAGAGTTCCATACTTTGGTGGGTGAGCTAGTCTATGGCGAGCTTTGAAACTCTGCATAGCTCCGCTTAGGCAGTATTAATGTGTAGGCTCTTGAGCCTCACTAACTGCCTCTGGCATTGAGTGTAGCCAGGTCTCCTCTCATTCTAGTGAGTCGTTATGCTGAGACCTCCACTCTTAGAGTTCCATACTTTGGTGGGTGAGCTAGTCTATGGCGAGCTTTGAACCTGCCTGTAGAGGTTTGTGGCTCGGGTTCTGGCAAAAGCGATTTGGCTGGTCAGAGAGTCGTTAAGCTGAGACCTCCACTCTTAAGAGTTCCCCTACCAGAATTGAGTGTTGCTAGGCTTCCTCTCGTTTAAGAGAGTCATTCTGCTGAAGCCTCCGCTCTGCAGAGCTCCACTTAGGCAGCATTAATGTGTAGACTCTCTTTCGAGCCTCACTAACTGTCTCTAGTGTTTAGTGTAGCTAGGTCTCCTCTCATTCTGGAGAGTTGTTGTGCTGAGACTGCCACTCTTAAGAGTTCCCCTACCAGGATCGAGTGTTAGTAGGCTTCCTCTCATTTAAAAGAGTCATTCTGCTGAAGCCTCCACTCTGCATAGCTCCGCTTAGGCAGTAATATGAGTTTGTAGGCTCTTTCTTTTTGAGCCTCACTAACTGCCTCTGGCGCTGAGTGTAGCTAGGTCTCCTCTCGCTTTAGAGAGTCATTATGCTGAGACCTCCACTCTTAAGGGCTCCTCAACCATGGTTGAGTGTTGTTAGGCTTCCTCTCGTTTAAGAGAGTAATTCTGCTGAAACCTCCATGCTGCATAGCTACGCTTAGGCAGTATTAATGTGTAGGCTCTTGAGCCTCACTAACTGCCTCTGGCGTTGAGTGTAGCTAGGTCTCCTCTCGCTTTAGAGAGTCGTTATGATGAGACCTCCACTCTTAAGATTTCCTCTACCAGAATCGAGTGTTGCTAGGCTTCCTCTCGTTTAAAAGTGTCATTCTGCTGAAGCCTCCACTCTCCGGAGCTCCGCTTAGTCAATAATATGAGTCTGTAGGCTCTTTATTTTTGAGCCTCAATAACTGCCTCTGGCATTGAGTGTAGCTAGGTCTCCTCTCATTTTAGAGAGTCATTATGCTGAGACCTCCACTCTTAAGAGCTCCTCAACTTTGGTTGCGTGTTGTTAGGCTTCCTCTTGTTTAAGAGAGTCATTCTGCTGAAGCCTCCACTCTGCATAGCTCCGCTTAGGCAGTATTAATGTGTAGGCTCTTGAGCCTCACTAACTGCCTCTGGCATTGAGTGTAGCCAGGTCTCCTCTCATTCTAGTGAGTCGTTATGCTGAGACCTCCACTCTTAGAGTTCCATACTTTGGTGGGTGAGCTAGTCTATGGCGAGCTTTGAACCTGCCTGTAGAGGTTTGTGGCTCGGGTTCTGGCAAAAGCGATTTGGCTGGGGGAGGGGTGATATTCCCCGGGGCTTTGACTTGGGGGATTCCGTTTTTTTCGAAAGGGAACGTCTCAGGTTACGCATGTAACCATGGTTCCCTGAGAATAGGGAACGAGACGCTGCGTCTCATTGCCATGCTTCAGGCATTCCTGCCTGCGTCTCCTTCAGACAAAGAAGTGGATGACGTTTTCCGCAGGTGCTCTTTCATACCCGCACTCGCTTTATTGTTTACGTCATAGGTTGCCTACTGCCAGTGTCAAGCTCATTGTCGTTTTTTTCATTCATGCTTCAGACACTGGTCACGCTGGAGGCGTTCTCCTAGCGCCCTCTAGAGGACGCAGCGTCTCGTTCCCTATTCTCAGGGAACCATGGTTACATGCGTAGACTGAAACGTTAGCTAACCCCGACGTTCTTAAAATATAAAATTTGATTAATCTCAAAAATAAAACATAAAAATCTAACAGGTTTATAAAGGGCATCCACTTAATTTATTAGTAGTTTTACAAACAGTAAATGCTCAGCATCACATGTTGAAGAACTCAGTAAAGTGCAGTGCATAATCAAGCGTCTGACTGTTGTTTGCTCAGAGTGCTCATCATCGTCTTTGCTTGTTGTGGTTCTTGCAGAAAAATAATACAGTCATCTGTAGTAATAGGTGTTCAGCTGTTCTCCTCCAGTTTTCCAGCTGCTCTCCCAGTTAGCAGCACTGAGCTCTATTCTCTGTGTGCATGATAGAGTTCTTCATCATGGCCTATAACAGAGGAGCATACAACAGTGTAAACAGAAAGAATACAAATAAATATTACATCTTAAGATCACAAACAATACTGAAAACGTTCTAAATTAGCCAGCCTAATTAGTATTCAGAAACTATGTAAAGACTAATTTATTGAAAGTATACATATGACACCTTATGAGTATCTATATCAGTGGTTCTCAAACTTTTTTGGTCATGCCCCCTTTAAACCTATAAAGAAATCTGATGCCCCCCTTTTACAGAATTCCCATCCCATCTCAGACTACCAAATAATTTCACTAAACATTATGAAAAATTTATGCTTTTTTAATTTGAAAAAACCTACAGGGAAAAAACGCCTGCATCACTTGAAACATTGAAAAATTACATAGAGAGAATAACTGTTATTATTTTTATTATTATTATTCTCTCTGTTATTTATTTATTTATTTTGGGTTTCATGCTGTCCACTAAGGCATAGGACACACACAGGCTTTCCTCCTCACCAACGACATTAAACACTGTGTCTACACCTGACGCGAGCAGCAAAATACAGTAGAACCCATTATAATCAGTGACGCTGTCTACACTAGCTGTGGCGTGGCGCGACATGACAAAACCCGACATTAAACTGATGACTTGTTCTATTTATGACGTACTGACACAACGTTAAAATTATTTGTCATATTTAATTTGTGAACAAACTTTGACATTGGCTTGAAAAGCCTGAACCTTGTGTCGAGACTTGAACTCGGGTCACCTTGTGCACAGCTGTAGTACATGTTAGAACGTGGGTCACAAGGTTAGGCTATTGCTCTGACATAACAGTTAATTTTAATTATTTATTTTGTCTATGGATCATAACATTTCTTACATATTTCTGCTCATTTGAAATCAGATATAAAGTGGCACTGTATTTGAATGCATGAGTGCCAGTGACTTTTCTCAAAATTGTGAGATAAAAAGTTGCAATTGTCAAATTCTGACAGGAAAAATGTCAGCTCACAATTCTGGCATTTTCTTGCAACTGTGTGTTTATACAATACAATTCTGAGGAAAAAAAGAAGAGAGAATTATATCAGGGTGTTTGTCAACAGACCTTTTTAATACCAACTTTCGTGAAATTTAAGACCAAACCTGTGATGGAAATACACAATATATTACATGCATGTGTGATATTTAATGCATTCTGATTCTGATTTAATGTTAAAAGAAAACAAAATATCCTCCTGAGACCTAAGCATAGCATTTTGTTTTATCTTTCATAACATAGTTGAGAATCATCTTTATACAAAGTTTGGTTAACGGAAATCCTGAAACCTAAAAATTGATTGGTGAATGAAAAAAAAAAAAGATTTTGCCTATACATGTCTTCTCATGTAATTTAATTTAATTTATTTATTTTTTTAACAAAAGTAAAATGTCCCCTACAGTGTAATGTAATGACAATAAAAGCCTAATTTCACAAAACTTTTCCCCCCTGGTTATCAGGATGATATCCTCACTGTCAAAAATGCTATTCATTATTACCATCCAATAAAATTTTCATATCAGCAGACAATATCCCATACAAAATATCCTCACAAAAGCACTGCGTCACCAAGATTTTTGGTGGCATAAACATAACAAGAAGCTATATTTTCATCAGTGCTCTATCAGCTTTTACGTACTTAAATCTTCTTATTTTTTATATTTACTCCAGGGTGTTATTTACCTTAATAAAGGCCAATATTTTTTAACCTTATTAAATGTTTGCATCATCTAGCTGTTACCAATCAAATTAAATTTACAATGCAAAATTACAACTGCAATAATTTTTTAATAGGTCTATACCTAAAAGATATGCTGAGGAAAAAAAATAATACTTTTAAATACACTAAACCACCAGTAGATGATGGGAATTCACTTATTTATTTAACTGATTGGTTGGTTCAAAACGCTGTACTGAAACAATGCAGAGTATTGCTTGGAGAATGTGAAATACTCCTGCTATCATCTTTCTTTGAAACTATTTTCATTGGTGAAACAGAACAAAACAGTCAATATTGCGTCTAAAATGTACTTGTTTGTTTAACTAAAATCAAGGTAATATATGCACTCATAAAAATATTCAGCAAAATAGTTCCCTTGTCATGGTATGTTACTTAAATACATCATGTTAGAAATACAGTAAACATGTTGAATTTTTACCTCAGTATGTTTCTATGAATGCCGTTACACATTTAATTTCTCCATGAAAGTCTCTGACAAACAATCAGGCAGCGCAAGCCTAAACAACAGCTGTTTTTTTCATTTTTGGATGAACTATCCCTTTAAAGCTCTAGAAGGAGTAAAGAGTTTAAAAATTCAGTCTCAGAAGAAAATATAATAATAATATTATTAAGCTTAAATGAGTAAACAATATGCAATATACAATGACATACTTTAAAGTCTTACCTAAGACTGCTATTACCAGTACATACAATATTTGCTAGACTACCAAATCAAAAACACATAGACTTAGACTTGTTGATGCTTATATCTTTCCCATTACCCCATTATGAATTACTGAAAGATTATTAAATTCTAAAGACATAATCAGATGAACACTTACGTAGCAAATGTAAAGCATAGAACACAATATTACAGTAACACTACAGCAGGAGTTTTCAAACCTGCCCTGGAGGACACCCTGCCCTGTCATCTAACACACCTGATTCAACTCATCATCTTGTTAGCAGAGACTGCAAGAACTAAATCGGTCTTTGTCAGTCACATGCGTTTATTATGTGTTACGTGACCGAGGCGCCATTTTGAATGTATTGTTGCATTGAGCAGTGAACTAAAAGTGTACAGAGCCGTGCAGTAAAGACCGATTAAATCGTCATACTGGAGAAACAGATGCAAACCAAGTAGATACGGTACCGAGATAATCTCAGCAAATTTTTTTAGGAACCGTAATTTATGTAATTTGTCACTGATGATGATTAACAATTAACACTGATCCATACTAACGTTACCTGATGCAAAAAGTTGAGTGCCACCGGCATCGCTGCCTCCAACCTCGTTGGATATATGATTATCTTGTTTATAGTTTTTAGTATAAAAACTTATTTTATTTACTTATAAACTTATATGTTCTGTTTTTGTCTACCATTGTACCATACCAATTGTAAGTAATTACATCATGTGAGTCTCTACCATTAAACCTGTAGCGAATCAGCTCATGGGGAAATATGAATAATTAATCATAACTAGTTATAATTAATTATAAATATTTAGATCCGCTGTAGATATTTAGCTGACCTCTCAGGGTCAACTGTCTGTCAATTCTAAGAACGTTAATTTCCTGGTTAAGGGAAATAACTTTCTTACTGTACAATTCTACAAAGAGCTTGTAGCATAAATCTGCATGATTAAGTGACTCCAGTTATGAGCAAACAATGAACAACGTCAAGTGTGATACAAGTAAGACTTTATTAACTACATAAACACTTAAACTAGTCTAACATACTACATAAACACTTAAACTGGTCTAACATACACATACACACACACACAGTTTGTATAGGAAAGGGTTCAAGCTTAATGTAGTAAAGAGAATTAAGAATATGAAGTTTTGGAACCATTTGCATATTCAGCAGATTTACAGCCTGAAGGGAACATCAAATTCTTAGTTCAAACACACCTTTGTAAAAAGGTGCAAATGATACCTAATGTATAAATTAATAAGACTCAGTTTGAATACTTGCACGTCTCGTCTGTCTGAAAGAAAGGCTTTATGCAGTCCAAAGGTTCAAGTTGATCTTTGCTATTAACTACATAAACACTTAAACTAGTCTAACATACTACATAAACACTTAAACTGGTCTAACATACACATACACACACACACAGTTTGTATAGGAAAGGGTTCAAGCTTAATGTAGTAAAGAGAATTAAGAATATGAAGTTTTGGAACCATTTGCATATTCAGCAGATTTACAGCCTGAAGGGAACATCAAATTCTTAGTTCAAACACACCTTTGTAAAAAGGTGCAAATGATACCTAATGTATAAATTAATAAGACTCAGTTTGAATACTTGCACGTCTCATCTGTTTGAAAGAAAGGCTTGATGCAATCTGAAGGCTCACGTGGATCTTTGCTGAAATTGGTTGATGAAAAGAAACAGTTTGCGTCAGAGAATCTTGTTGAATGGAAATGCAAGGCCGAAGGCCTGGCACAAAACTTAGGATGTCCTGGAGCGTTGGAGCTCACATCTTATCAAAACCTAACAGA